TGAGGCTAAAGACACATGCAATTTTGTACTCGCGCATCGCGAACATTACTACGTGAGCTGTCAGAACGCTATTTTGAAAATTTCCGAGGTAAAACACTTCATTTTTAAATCATATCGTAGGGCAGCGTATTGGATTTCCAGTAATTTGGCATCGTCTAAATTTTTTTTGTGTAGGTTTCTAGGTAAGTGTTTTTGCCAGGAAAGCATAAAATGAGGCGTTTTTTTTCAATCTGAATGCGTTTTTCTTGAAGTATATCAGTTTGGTTTTTAATGGAGTGAGTTTTTTCTGTAATAAATGTAAAGCTTTTCTTCCTTATGCTAAAGTCTGTAACAGTTTTTACGCTGCTGTGAGTAATTTTTTTTTTTAAATTTCAAACTTTGACTCTAAATTTTTTTGCATTTTTCACCTGGTACAAATAATGCAAGTAAGGAAAAATTACATCCTACCCTTTTTACTTTTTTTTCAAAATTACATCAAAAAAGTCAAAATCCCCTTTTCCACATTTCAAAACTCCTATTTGTCGAAACTGCTGAAAAAATCGACGATGATCAGGATTGCTTTTCGTTAGACACACTAATCCATATTTACTCTCTAGAAGAGTTGAAGTTAATCGGAAAGTAGTCCTGAGTGCTGGCAAATTTCAATACCAACCGTCCGTACCAAAAACTACCGACAAATCCCTCCTTCAAAGCTATTTAAGAACAAGCAAGATGGCGAGTTTAGCTTCCTAGCTAGTTATAAGTAACAAATTACCATCGAAACGAATGAGCGAACTGTAATGTCAGTGCTGAATTACCACTGAACAAATGAACGAATCGTAGACGGATTAACTGTACCACCGGCAAAATCGAACCCCCAATCTTTCTGCAGAACAATAGTGCTAATGTGCCTTAGACTAACAGATTTTGAGTAACGTAAATCATTTTACCAATTTTAATTAACTTCCACCTAATGAATTTGCGTTCAGACGGGCGAAGTTGATGAAAGAATCGGCGTTGACCAGGGCAGCTTTTCGCTAGGCCTATCAATTGATGACCAAAATCGAATAATTGCAGCCATCAGAGGACAACCGCTTCTTCGAGTTTTCCAGGTCAGAATTTTTCTTTTCTGTCACCAGCACATCCAGTAATAATTTAGCCCTGGACTGCTTATCCAAAACATTTGTTCAGCTTAAGTCCAGATTTCTTTAAATGGGCCCAAACAAAAGTGTAAAGTACATGTGTGTTGTAGTATCCTATTAATTTATTAATTTTACATCATTGCTTAATCACTTAAATACTTATACTACACTTGGATATAAATGCCTGATATTAATTTCAGCTAATAGCTGAATATAAAAATATTGGAGGATCGAAAAATGTAGTACTTGAAAATACAATGCTTGAATAATGCCTATCAATTTCCCACAAAAAATTTAATGTGCATCTTTTTGGAAAAATGAGTACCCGTCCCTCCCCTCACTTTTTCTTGACTCTGTAGCTCTGAAAAATCCCTCAAAAATTCCCTGGATCACTGTCTTAATTGTGGCTTATGCAAATTCCAGAATGGTAAACTGGTGAGTGATCTGTCGCCTGCGTTCAGTGAAGAATTGTCGGCAATCTGGTCGGAAGTCCTTTTCGAGAACGGTCGGCTGCATATCGTGGATTATCTGACTAGCACACTGAAGACTTTTCGCTATCCGATTGGCAGTAGCACCGACAGCAACGACGCTTAAGTGTCACGGCGGGGTGAAAGGTCAAGCCGGCCGCTACGTTAAACACCGTGCACAACTCTCTCCGCCATAATACAATGTGTAAACATAAACACGCAATTAGTGCAGCGCCATTGAGCCATTTTAGCACTGCCGATTAGCTCCTGTGAAAATGAAACCAAAATGCACTACGAGAAATTTATCGTACTCGTTATTATACAAACAATTTTGCTTTTGAAATTTGCGAAACAACTCATACTGTATGTTTTATTGGTACCCCTTTTTCAGCTACCACTGTTTCATCGTCGCCTTTCTTCTCTCCACTGATGCAGCTGACAACTTC